TAGTGTAGATGTACCCTAAGCTGAGACAACTCTCACTGAGGGAAAAATTTGCCTTGCAGAATCTTTATTACTGGTGATGATGTGTGAGAAGAAAACAACCCAGCTTGATTCTCAGAGCCCAGGCTGAGCTTTCAGAGTTAACAATTAGGAAACAAAATTTACTTCCAAAATGAGCTCTTTTGATCTGCAATCAATGAGAGACAATGAATATGGAGCCCTGCGATTCATGTGTCCAGTCAATTTTCATAGCAGAACTGCACTTCATCTGTCAGCTATATGCTGATTATACTAATCTGTAAATGTAGTCTTCTGACAGCCTGTAATACACTCTCTGTCTCCATGTTCCCTTTCTGTTTTGACTAAGAAAATTTGTAGTTTTTGTCTCACCTTCTACCAGCTAAGTCAGATGTGCTTCTCCTGGGCAAGAAGAACATCCTCTAGTACATTTCCCGGCTAAACCCAGAACTTCCATTTGATTTCACAGTCAGTAACTTTGGCATCATTCTTTACTCTAAAGTCTTCTCCTCCTCCTCATACAGCCCATCAGCCTGAAAATCTGCTGAATGACCCCCTGCAGCATTGCCCTTGAATGTCACTGCCTCCGCTCAGCCTCTGCTGAAACCCTCACCCAGCCCTTCAGATTCTCTTGCTATGATTACTGCAGCTCCCTTGTCTCTGGCTGGCATCCCCAAGTCCCATTGCTCTGACTCCAGCATGGGCAGAATGCTGCTGCCTATTTTCTCACAGCTACGAGGAAGCCTGACCACATCACCTCCGTCTTCAGACTGCTTCATTAGCTCTCTTTTGTTTCAGGATTCAGTTTAAAAATACCCCAAAACACTCTCCTTGCTTTTAAAACACTCCATGGACTTGCTCCAGCCAATCTCTTTATCCCTTTCCCCACTTTCTAGCAACACAGGAAATGCCAGTCTAGATCAGCGCAGTGGTCCATCTAGTCCAGAATCCTGTCTCTGACAATGACCAGTAGCAGAGGCTTCAGAGGAAGGGGCAGGAAACCCCCTAATGGACAATTTTGGAATAACCATAGGGAAGTTTCTTTCTGACCACTTTCACATGGAGATAGTTATGCCCTGAAGCATAAGGATAGATATTGTAACTTCAAATGGTATAATCTATATAAATAAATAATCCTTTTTTAAATCCTATGAAGCTCTTGGCCTCAATAACATATTGTGGCAGTAGGTTCCACAGGTTTTTTGCTTGCCATGTGGCAGCCTCCCATCTTTCCCACTGCACAACCGCACCACTATTCATAGAAGATCCTTCTCCTCTGCAGCTTCTGTTTTCTGGAATGGCCTCCACCTCTTTATCTATCCATCTTAAAACCTCAAACCTCAGCTGAACATGACTTTTCTATCTTGCCTTATCTTTGAATATTTTCCTCCCTCTCCTAGTTATCCCAGCAAGCATGCCATTTTACTCTCCAAACTGTTTTGGGATAGCAGCTTGCTGGAAAAGATCAAGTCAAATTGTACTGCAAGGATGTAAGCGTGAAGAGTTTTCCTGTGTCAGTCCCTTGTGCCCTACCTTAAATGAAACCCCTTCCAGAGATGGGACATCATCATTGGATGCCATGGAAATGACTGATGTAGCGATCATCGGATCCCATCTCTAACTGTGGAGCAGGAGACAGTGAGCCACTAGGTGTAGCCAAACTCTTAAAGCGGCAGTCATCTTGGAAACAGAGAACAAGGGAATGGGAAATACGGCTAAATGGAGGAGAGTAAAGGAGAGAAATTGTTCCAAGAACAGAATATTGTCCTCAGGTTTTCTTGGGCATGGGGAAGAGGGAAGAGTGGATGCGAAGAATATATGCACCCAGCCATAGAGGGGAGTGAGAGAACCTGTGGTTAGTGCAGGGCCAAAGGGGAGATATAAAGGCTGCTGGGGCTGAAGATTCTTTGTCCGGCTACCCTTAATTCAGTGGAGAGGAGATGAGTGTTACACCCTTTCATTCAGAAATTCTGTCCCCCAACTTCTCGCTCCTCATCTCTCCATGTCCTCTCATCCATTCCATCCAACCCGCTTCCCTGTCTCTCTTGGAGTGGAAGAGCTGAGAGTCCATCTGTGTGTGTAACAATAAAAAAAGAAAATCTAAGCTAAAGTGAAAAGCTGCCAAGGGGGCTGAAGGGAGGGGTCAGGAGTGAGACAGGCCACGTGACAGAGGAACAGAGGCCTCGTTAGCGTGAGCTGTCACTATGAATTGAGGGCAGCTCATCTCAAGCTCATTGCTAATGATCTTGGGGAAGAGTAGAGGTAAAAAAGGACCCAACCACAATAAACATCCAGTGCACACTGCAGCTCTGGAGAGGAGCCTGTCAGGACAGCTGCTCCCCTGAGACCATTCTGGAGCATGAGAGACCAGCCCCCACAAGCCAAGAGGAAAAGGGGGGCTGCAGAACAGGACAAACAAGTCAGGCATCAGCAAAGGAAAAGAGGAGACTTGGTGATTCAAAGGCAGAGCCAGAAGGAAAAGGTTACACTAGATTCCACCACCGCTGACTCACACAAATGAGGCAGGGATGGGAAATGGTGGAGGGCAGGGGAAATCGTTTGGGAGGTTAATGTACCACCTGCCCCCCCCCCCCAGCAGAGTTCAGAGATACCACCTGGAACCATCCTTCCCACAGGAGTCATCTCTCCCTGTGTCTGTGTCCCAAGCCCACAAAATACCCAAGCAGCCACTTGTGGCGCCACTCTTTGAGGGGCCAGGTATCCCACATAACCGCTGCTAATCGCTGCTTCCCTGGTAACGGGAGCGATGGGGCAGAAAATCCCCCACCAGATGCCTAACACCCTCCAGCACCTCAGAAAGCAATTTGTGCCCTAGATTTTTTCCTTTCAAAAACCTGGAATCCCCCCAAGTCATATAAGTGACCCGGCCACATGTTCATGATCCAGCCACAGCTCACCTGCAGCCTCCTCTCTGCTCGCGGGGAGCATTATCCACCTCTCCCTGTCCTCACAGCAAGACGCTCTGCAGAACCCATACATTAAAGCAGGAATAGACCTATTAGCACAGTTCACGTCTGGTCCCCAGCCAGGGCAGAATAGTTCCCTATAGTATGTTCTCTTGGGCTTTGTCCAGGCCTAATTTTACATGATTTAGGCAATAGGGCTTCCACCACTTCTCTGGGGAGTCTAATTAGTAGAGTCTAATTAGGAGTTTAATAGAGCTCAATGGTAGCAAACAGCTCCTGATATTCAATTTAAATTGTTCCCCCTTTTGCTCCATTTCATCCCATTACTCCTGATTATACCCCACCCCGAGCCCACCCGAGAACAATTCCTCTCTCTCTAGCTATGTACACCCTTGTAGAGAGTTGCCATGTCCCCACCCAATTCTAGCTGTCACTTAGCAGAGCCAAATATGTGCATTCAGTTCTCTCAGGCTACCTTTGTAAGTCAGGTTTCAGAGTCCCTCCACTCTCAGCCAAGTACAGCCCTTCTGCAACAATCCAGGATTCTCCTGATTTTATTGCCATCTCCCCTCCATATACTAGCTTCCTCTATTCTGTCCATCACTCTGATAGGCTTTGCAACCCTTCACTCACCACCTCCAGGGCTGCCCAGACAACCAACTGGTCTCTCAGGGTACTTCTAAACTGCATTGTAAACCTGAGTCGGTGGGACCCAGTTTGTGAACTTGGTGTTTCCCAAGCCCATGCTTGAGAGTCTGAATTACAATGTAAACCTGGGTTTTCAACTGCTGGAGCTGGGTTCACAGCCATACTAATATGTCCATACTGCACTACACAGACCTTCTCACTCATGTCTAAGGCTTGACTGCATCCACATTGCAATATGACATTCTTTGGATCCAAGTCTCAGCAGGACTTGGGCAATTAGTTCTAGTCATGATGCTTCCAGGATCACACCCCTTTCATTATTATTATAACAGACATTTAGATGGCAGTCATCAGTGTAATATCTGGGCAAATACCATTTCCCATCCACAGGGAAATAACATCCCAGGATCATTCTTTAGCACCATGGCACTGAAGGTTAGAAAAAAGGAAACTTTGGCCAGTAGAAGAATCCATGACAGTTTTTGTAAAATGGGGTGTTAACCTCTTTTTCTGAGTCTTGACTAAATTTCAGCTTGGGTCATTGCATTCTTTCACCCTGGCATTCCCACAGCAGTTGGCATTGATGTGTTTTTCTTTTTTGTCTACTGACCTGAACAGTTGTGCATCCTAGAGGTAGATGCACTTCAGTGGTGGATACAGCCATTCATATATACTATATTTTATCATGCTGTGCCCAGCTGTCATCTTTTTCTCTTTCGAGACAGACACTAAGACACAGACGGGCACAGTTGGTGAATTCCCAGTGATGTTTGTTAAGGAGTCATGAAATATGAACTGAAATGGAATCCAGAGAGAGGGAAGGGGACAGGAGAGGAGCTGAAGAGATGCAGGAGGAGAAGTAAAGACAAACAGGAGATTCACTCTTTTTTGAAAGAGGGCAAAGGTAAAGAAGGAAACTGAAGAGTGACTTAAGGGAAGAAAGATGAACTAGAGAGAGGAAGGGGGGGTCGAAGGGAAAACGAAGAAGAGCAGGAGATAGAGGGGATGATGAAAAGGCGAAGAAATGCTAAATCTTCTGCAGCAGCTTAAAACTCGCAGGGCCCCTGACAAACGATGACAGTGGCTCCTGCATCACACAATGAAACAGCTGCTCCTCTGACCAGTGGAGATACTTCGCTCACTGCTGTTCCCTCTGGGCCACCTCCTGCCTCTGACACTTCCTTGTTTCTTCTTGCCCATTCACACTGGCAGCTAAACTCAGCTTCTCCACCAAGAGGGGAAGGGAAAAAAGGGAGCAGCAGAGAACCATTCAGAAGTGGCAGGTCAAGATGAAGTACAGCACACAGCCAAACAAGTCAAAGCCATGCCTGCTACAAGGCACGGAATGTAAAGGAAGGAATGAGAGAAAGCAGTAGGAGGGATGAGAGTCAGATGAACAGGCCTCCTCACCTGACTGACTGGTGCTGACGTTGATGGCTGCATATTGGGGTGCCTCTGGGCTCAGCTCGGTCACCAGGTTGACGGCCTGGATCTCGAATGTGTACTGCACACGGGCCAGCAGGTTGGAGACCTGCACACGACTCTCTGTTAGCCCCACCTGGCGTGGCTCAAACTGAATGCTGTCCCCACAGCGCACGCAGGGCCCTGGAGACCCCGTCGGGCACACCTTGCAGATGATATTAAAGAAGACATCCTTGCGGCCACCCAGGTCCTTGGGTAAGCGCCAGGTCAGGAGCACATTGGAGCCAATGATCTCGTAGCTAACATCCCGGGGGGCGGAGGGAGTGCCTACAAGAGAGGAAAATGAGATATTAAAAACCTACAAAAGAATGACAGAGAGAAAGAAAGAAAAGGAAAGAGAAAAAGAGGACAAGTTCCTTATTTCTCATTCCTCTGCAAAAAATGTTTCAGCTGTTTCCTAGAAGGAGGCTAGGGACAAATACATTGTTTTGTCCCTATTCAAATTTTCTTTTCTTATAAGAGCTCTAGCACCCCCATGCTTTGGAGCAAGGACTTGAAATTTAGCAAGGTGGTGGCTTTTTGTCAGGGATGAGCCTTGTGTTGTTCTCATAAAAAGCCATCCAAATTATGAGCCTTTTTAAAATCTCAGTACGCACATGTTCAGTAGAGACTTGTTACAGTCTGGTAGCTAAATTCTCTGAACATTCTGTCTGCATTAAGCATGCTATAGCAAAGTGCTGCAAGGGCTCCATGTGTCCCCTTTTGTTTTTCTGTTTTCCCCAAATATCAATAGGGTTCTGGACACTGATGCCTAGAACATTCCCTGAAATTTTGAAATTGCTCCTACTTGGCATTAACAAGTTATCACTTTACAGATGAACAGACAAACAGAGAAATGCCTGCAAGATGAGTGTAGGCCTTCATAAACTGGCCAATGTTCATATACTATTTTTTCCAAAGGACCCCTATCTCATTCAGTGCACAGGATGGACATCCACTGGATATGAATCCGGGTGGTGAATTGAAGGAATCTGTTGTCTGTAGGACTGTTGCCTCATTTGTTGCAAAAGCTGAAAGGTGTGCAATGAATGATGCAAGGGACTGCAGAAGAGAAAGGATCATCTCATGTTTAAAACAGGTGAATGCTTCCCTGGAAAACTGAATTCTAACCCTGCCTCTGCCACAGAGTTCCTGTGTGATGCTGGGCAAGTCACTTAAGCCAAATTTTTCACAGGTGGTCACTAATTGTGTGTTCCTAATTTTTTGGGTGCCCAACTTGAGACCCAGGGATCTGATTTGGAGAAGTGCTGAGCGCTCACAGCTGCCCTAAGTACAAAGAAAATAGGTTATACTTACAGGATGGGGGACTCTCTCCTGGGAAGTAGTAATTCTGAGATTTGGGGGTCATGGTGGATAATCAGCTGAACACGAGCTCTCAGTGTAATGCTGTTGCCAAGAGGGCTAATGCAAACTTGGCATGCATAAACAGGCCAATCTCAAGTAGGAGCAGAGAGGTTATATTACCTCTGTATTTGGCACTTATGTGACCACTACTGGAATACTGAGTCCAGTTCTGGTGTCCACAATTCACGAAGGATGTTGATAAATTGGAGAGGGTTCAAAGAAAAGCCACGAGAACAATTAAAGGATTAGAAAACATTTATTATAGTGATAGACTCAAGGAGCTCAATCTATTTAGATTAACACAGAGAAGGTTAAGGGGTGACTTGATTTCAGGCTATAAGTACCCATATGGGGAACAAATATTTAATAATGAGATGTTCAGTCTAGCAGAGAAAGGTATAACACATCCAATAGCTGGAAGTTGAAGCTAGACAAATTCAGAATGCAAAGGAAGGAATAGAATGCATAAATACTGGAAAGAATGCATGAATTTTTAACAGCAAGAGTAATTAACCATTGGAACAATTTACCAAAGATCATGGTGGATTCTCCATCACTGACCATTTAAAAATCAATGTTGGATGTTTTTCTAAATGACATGCTCTAGGAATTATTTTTGGGGGAAGTTCTATGTCCTGAGTTATACAGGAAGTCAGACTAGATGGTCACAATGGACCCCACTGGCCTTGGAATCTATGAACTGAAGACAATGGGAGTTGTGCTTCAACATATAAAGTGCTATATCATACTAAGTACTCTGAAAAATCAGGTCCTAGATATCTCAAATTGGGAAACCAAATTTAATGGACACTTTTGACCTTAATCTCTCTGTGCCTCCGCCCCTTATCTGTAAAATGGGGATAATACTCCCTCTCCTCACAGGGGTGTTATGAAGACAAATTCATGAATGTTTGTGAAGCACTTGGACTATAGAGATAAGCACCATAGAAAGCCCATGAGGAAATTAATATTTCTTTCTTCCAAGGAGGGTTTCAGTAGTGTGTAGTCTGGTGCTACTCATTGTACAACAAGGATAAAACAACATATGAAGTAACTGCTCATTCAGTGAGCACTATCATCCTGTGCAATTAATGAGGCAGGGGTCCTTACAGAAAAATACTATGTGATCATGTAATTAAAGACTGTATCATAATGCATACACACAAGGAGGCCGAATTAAGGTTGCCTGGGCAAACTGAATTCTGACATTTCCTAATTTCTGAGAGCCTGATTTTGCAACATAAATGTTCTTTTAATGCAGGTTTTTGTATCTACTATATTGAGAATTGTATATAATATATGGGATTAATGAAATGTCTTCAATACATTTGGTGGGTAGACATACCCTGTAGTGGATTAGAAGTGGTGCCCCCCAGATTCCTGCAGGGGAAAAGAGTGAAGAGAAATTATTCTCTCTTTCTCAGGGGCTCTTAGAGGCGATGACTCAGAGACTCCCCGGAATCATTGGCCATCCCTCTTCCTCCCCTCACATACTCTACCCAAACACTTACCAGTGCAGGGGGTGTCAGACGTGTCCGAAGCAGAGCGGTAGTATCGGCTTTGGCAGGCACATTCACTGGAGCCTGGCACTGGAGCGTGGCTGTGGGTGGGGCAGAGTCTGCAGGGGGCATCTCCCACATATGCTTTAAAGGAACCAGTGGGACAGGCTAGGGGAAAGAAAACAGTGACAGATGAGAAAGGGGAACCAATTACTTCAGATCCGAGAAGGAACACATTCTCCTTCAGGCTGAGACCACACTGTTGCTGGGAGAATCCTGTATTGACTGGCTGTGCAGTTTCAGTCACCACACCGCTGGACAGGCATTGCCTCCTTTGAGCTGGGATATGTGCCATTTCTCATCCCCACTAGTGACTGAGACTGCCATTAAAGTTGAAGTGGAGGTAGCAGGCCTCCCATCTCAATGTGATTTCTTAACCCTCTCTTGAAATCTCCAATCTGGAAAGGACTAAGAGATTCAAGGTGGATTCATTTGTGGATGGTTCAGAGAAAGGGTTTTATTATCTAAATAGATTTGACTTCTATTACTGGCCAAGGAGCATTAGCAATGGAGATGGCTAAGAGAGTAACACTGAAACTAGCATGGAAGTCTACCACATAGGAACACAAGCTGAGTGAAGAGTGCAATACAGCAAAACCAACTCCCTAATATGACAGCAGGCTCTGGGATACCACCTGGCAATGCAGGTCTCATGTGGCGAGTCACCCACATGTCAGATGCTACAGCCCTATTTCTGCTGACTCATGCTAGCAGGTGGGTCTTTCTAGGTCCAGTTCAGAATAAAACAGGTTCGAGTTTCCCTCTGAGGCAAAGGAACATCCAATGAACAGCTGAGCTCAGGAGAAAGCTTAGTCTGAGGTTTCTGTTTGGTTGTTGTTATTTAAGTTCACAATCAAGTAAATTCCCAGGAAGGAGGTAAGCTTGGACCAGACATAACGCATGTACCTTATGTTAGGAGCAGAGTGAGAATGCTGTCTTATTCCACTATAATAAAGAATATCCCCGATGGGTTGCATGAGCAAAACAACTCAAAGGGGGAGGAAAGCAGGACCAGGAGAAATAAAATGTGATAGATGGAGGGGGAGTTGGGGGGGGGGGGGAAGGAGGAGAGTATACACACAGCTGTACCTATCAAAAAGTGTAAAACATGCACTGGAAGGAAGATCAGGAACAGTCAGCATGGATTCACCAAGGGCAAGTATTTGTTACAGACTCTTGATTCAGCAGCCGCATCGTCAGCCACAGTTAGAGACATGGGGGCCAGGAATGGGCAGAAAGGATGGGCTGGAGGCAGACTAGGAAAAGAGTATATTGTGATACTCTCCCAGAGCTAGGGTGACCGGGTGTCCAGTTTTCGACCAGAACACGTGGTCGAAAGGGGATCCTGGCGGGCCACTCACTGTCCAGTTGGCAGCGCCGCACAGCAGGGCTGGAGGCTCCCTGCTAGCCTCCACGCCGCGCGGCTCCCGGGAAGCAGCTGACATGTCCCCTCTCCAGCTCCTATGCGTAGGGGCAGCCAGGGAGGCTCCACTAGCTGCCCCTGCCCTGCAGCTCCCATTGGCCAGGAGCTGCTTGAGGTAAGCACCACCCGGAGCCTGCACCCCTGGACCTCTTCCCCCCCACGCCCCACCCCCCTGCCCTAGCCCTGATCGCCCTCCAAACTTCTCGATCCCAGCTCAGAGCATCCTCCTGCACCCCAAACCCCTCATCCTCAGCCCCGCACCTCCAGACAGAGCCCTCAACCCCTCCTGTACCCCAGCCCCCTGAGCCAGGCAGGTGAAAATGAGTGAGTGAGTGAGGTTGGGGAGAGCGAGCGACAGAGGGGTTGGGGGATGGAGTGGGGAGGGGGGGCACTAGAAGAAGGGCCAGGGCATGGGCGGGGCCTTGGAAGAGGGGCAGGGCAGGGGGTGTTCAGTTTTGTGCAAATAGAAAGTTGGCAACCCTACCCAAAGCTCCACTTACTCATGATACAAAATCAGATGCCACTCACAATACATTGTGCAGATCTTCAGACTATGATTGTCACTCTCCTTTGTGTGCACTTTGAGCAGCAGTCCACTAGTTAACAAGGCTGCATTTAAATGTGGGTGTGTGCAGGCTGCAGACATTAATATCCCTTTATAATGAAAAAGGGCAGTCCATACCTCTCAGAACCATTTCTTCAGGATGCCAGCAGGCTCTGATTGACATCACTGCATTGGTTACACATGATTTATGCTTGCAACGTTATCTTCACAACCGTAAAGGCTAGACTTTTTTTTTTAAATGAAAGCTTACAGATTCTGGCACACAATATGGCAGCCACTCCAGGGAAAAGGACCCTCTTACTAAACCACCTCAATTTGCCACTTGGAAAAGAGGCCCCTGATTTGTGTGTAATCAGTAACTACTGTTTGCTCTCAGGTGTGTTTGGAAGGGGCCAGAGAAGGTCCAGAAGCAGCAGCAATCCTCTCTCCAGACCATGTTTGTACAGCAACAAACAGAGTTTAAAAGAGGCTGAAGGGGAATGCTATGAGGAGCAGCAGGTGAAGTGAAATGGAAAGAGCCCCTTTTTTAGCCTAGGTGGAAAGCTCTGTTTGGTCTCCTGGAATTCCTGGGGGCGAGATCATCTACCCTAGGATTCACTATAGCACTCGTGGCCACAGAATATAAGCGCTTCCCAGCAATGACCGAACTTAGCAATTTTTACCCTTGGAGCTCAAAACGCTTTAGAAAGGTGAGCTAAGTACAATCATTCCTGCTTTACAAATGTGGGAAGTGAAGCACCAAAGGTAAGTGACTTGATTAATGTCACACAGCAGATTAGTGTCTGAGCTCCTGACTCCTAGGCCGGTGCTCTACCCACTGAACTAAGCTGTGTCCTATCGACAAGCAATATAGGTTCTTGCCTTGCAAACACAGACTCTGGGGAGTGTGTTTGTGTGTCATTTTGAAGATTTTGTACCTACTTTGTAGATAATAAATTCAAGGGTACACTACTCAGAGATCCTGACAATATTGGTTACTTGTGCCCTTCACTATTAAGCCAAATCCCAGGGAAAAGGGAACATTTTCACATGAAACAGGTTTGTTACATCCTTTTTTTGTATTGTCTTGCTTAACATATGAGCAGGGTGATGGCTGATGCAATCTGCCGTGGCCTTGGTCACTGAATACATTACACACATGCAGGCCCCCTCCCCACCTGCAATCTCTTCTCAAACCAGGGGCAAACTAAAATGTCAAGTCACAGGCAAACTCCCCTTGGCAGTGACAACCACTCTGTCTGCCAGGTGCAGGAGGGAAGCTAGAAGGGAGGGGTCTTTGCCTCTAGGCAGCGTCTGATTTCAGAACTGATCAGTGAAGCGGAGGTGAAATGATGAGGGACACTGTCCCCTCTGGGTGAGGCACCTGGGAAACAGGTTTGAAGCAGAAATAGTGAAGGCCACAAAAAAAAAAAAAAAAAAAGAATCTGTGTGGACAGAGACCCAACCATTCATTTCAGCCCCAAGGACAGAGGCAGCAATTCAAGAGCTATGGAGCTGACAGAGAAAGGAATCCTGAGCACCACCGGGAGAGGGCTCTAGCTTATTTTTTAATTATTCAGTGGGACAAAATAATCATTACATTGTCCTGCATGAAACTAGGGGCTCATGCTGGGATTTCCAGGAGGTATGGGGGCAGAGCCAGCTGGAAGGGGATCACACTGGCTGGATACCTCCATTTCTATCCCTCTGGGATTCCTACTCTCCTATTGCCAGTCAAGAGGAAAAATAGCAACATGAAATCATACTGCAGGCAAAGCCGATTTGTGGAGATTAAATGTGATTCACAGATGTTCAAACCTCCCCCACCTTCCTAATGAAAAGATAATTGGAGAAAAATCACCATGACCTAAAATTTCTAGGTACTTACATTTTTCATTTTCAACCTTAGTCAAAGGGGCTGGATTGACAGCACTAGAGACAAATGGCCTCTTTGTATCCAACGAGCAGGTTCACCGTGGGCAGGGGGAGCAGCAGGCCAATCCCTGCCTCCCCGCCCACACTGCCCACAACTCCTGCCCACCTGCTCTTGGAGAGTCTCCCTTCAGGAGGGAAGGGAGGGAGTCCACGCTCCAGTAAAGCTGGTCATGGAGATGGTTATTTGTGATATGGACATCTATCTCTCTATGACACTGACTGAGAACTACCAACTCATTTCACACAGAAGCCCTCAGATGGGAACAATGTTTGATCACTGCCCACCTAAATGGGTTTTCACAAGCATTTCCCCTCCCCCATCTCTCTGTAAAGAGGATGGCAAGGGTTAACTCTGAGAGAGCTAGAAGACAAATTCGACTGGCATCTGAATATTTAAAAGCCATCTCCTTCTGCTCCAGCAATCACAGCGAGCCCAGGGGCTGCCATTCCACACACACAGCCCAGCCCTGCCTGTTTCAATGGCCCACTGCAGGATCCCACATCTCCCCCCTTCACAGCTTGATCAGATCTTACATGTCTCATGCTACCCTAAGAATAAGATTAATTCTCTTTTCCCCGTGGAGGAATAACCAAGGGTCCATGCTCTCTTCCCCTGCGTTGTGACCCTGAGCAGTTTCTGTTAGTGAACACTACTCACCTGGGACAGTCATGGAGGAAATCCCAGTCTGATTCCGCCCCCCTGCCCCGCCCATACCTGCACATGTGCATTTAGTCTGACTCCAGTGCAAGTTCAACCAGCCATAGAAAATACCTACCTGTACCAGCCTGATCAGCTGCATGGTCCCAACACCCTGGAAGAAAGCATGCGTGGGGCCCTTGACAATTCCTGGTACTCAATGCCAGCACAGAGGGCTGGAGCCACAGTGCCTCGGGGGGGCACAGAGTGCTGCCTCTTCCCATTAAGTCAAGGGCAGCACTAGAGAAGAAGCCACAGTCAGGAAAGGCACAACTGATTCCCTTTCTGTCGGCCTCGGTCTGCTCATGGCTCTTGGCATGGTGTCAGAATGCCAGTACGGCTCAGCTGGGCACTGCTCAGGCTTGGAGACACTGACCCATTTTCCCGGGTCCTCCTCCCTTCCCCCCTTGTGCCTGCTTATCTTTCAGAACGAGTTCCGATGGGGAGGCTGGAGCACCCCGCCACTGACTTGTATCAGTGACAAGTTTGGAGAATGGTGAGTCCAGTGG